ATTTTTAGTAGAGACAGGGTTTCACCATATTGGTCATGCTGGTCTTGAACTCCTGACCTCAGGTGATCCACCCACCCTGGCCTCCCAATGTGCTGAGGTGACAGGCGTGCCCAGCTGGTGAGTTGCATCTTTTTAACTTTAGTTTTAAATTTGGCTTTAAGTAGTCAGAAAAGTAACACACGTTTGATGTGAAAAGAAAAACAAAAACTGCAGAGGTTATCGAAACAGCACAAGCCCTGTACCAGCCGGGTCTTCCCCCTCTCCACGGTGATTACTGTTAACAGCTTGGTAGTTATTTCTCTGGGTTTTTTTCACTAGGCATTTGCCATAAATAGCTGCTCCTTTGACTTGCTTTGCTTTCTTTTTTTTAGACAGAGTCTCACTCCTGTTGCCTAGGCTAGAGTGGCGTGATCTTGGCTCACTGCAGCCTTGACTTCCCAGGCTCAGGTGATTCTCCCACCTCAGCCTCCCAAGTACCAAGTAGCTGAGACTATAGGTGTACACACACCACCATACCTGGCCGATTTTTTTTTTTTTTTTTGAGTTGGAGTCTCATTCTGTTGCCCATGCTGGAGTGCAGTGGTGCCATCTTGGCTGACTGCAATCTCCACCTCCTGGGTTCGAGTGATTCTCCTGCCTCAGCCTCCCCAGTAGCTGGGATTACAGGCACTCACTACCACACCCAGCTAATTTTTGTATTTTTAGTAGAGATGGGGTTTCACCATGTTGGCCAGGCTGGTCTCAAACTCCTGACCTCAGGTGATTCACCTGCTTTGGCCTCCCAAAGTGCTGGGATTACAGGTGTGAGCCAGCAAGCCTGGCCCTGGCTAACTTTTTGTATTTTTAGTAGAGATGGGGTTTTGCCATGTTGCCCAGGCTGGTTTCAAACCGCTGAGCTCAAGATATTCACCTGTCTTGGCTTCCCAAAGTGCTGGCATTATAAGCAGGAACCACTGCACCTGGCCACTATTTTTATTCATTTAGAAAAATGGGATCACAGTATCATGTTTTTCTGCAGCCGTTTTTGTTTTAGTCATTTGAGAAAACCAGTTACATGTTGTGGTAATAAATTTCCCTTAAGAACAGAAAAATTAAGACGGCTGTTTTAAAACCCTGATGGACATGAAAAGTTGTATCAGCTGGCACCAAGAGACGGAGCTTGCTAGAAATTGTTAGGATCATAGTTTCTTGGAATGTAGAAGGTACAGGCCTTCCAGAGTTAGTTTCCTTCCTGCCTCTTAAAAGAACATTTCCAAGTCTCCCCTCTGTGAGTTAGCCATTGTCACTTCGGACAGTTCCTTTGCTCAAGCAAACAGCAGACTTCAGTGGTAGAGAGCGATGCAAGAGCAGACACTCCCCTTGGGGTTGCTTTTTTTTCTTTTCTTTTTTCTTTCCTGTGGATTTTATGTCATCCACCAGACAGACACAGGTCATCACAGAACCTCTCTGGTTGCATGCGGTGAGACTGAGTGGTCCTTGATGGCCAGGCCAGCTGAGCTCAGTCCCCATGCGCAGGCCATGCACTACTGGCCAGCACATTGAGTCCTTATCACCTTCGTTGCTAGAGAACTTGGTGGTATTTGTATTTCTGTGAGTGTGGACCACAGATGCTTACAGCATCTGCCAGTGAAGAGGACAGAAGTCAGTAATTTCCCTTTGTGGCTGTATATCGCTATCACCACTGTAAATATTCCTCAAAGCCTGAGAATAAGAAATACAGTCTTTGGAGATTGAAATCAAGGGCGTATGTCTGTGCAGAGGGCGAGGAAGGGTTAACAACAACCCAACTGAAGTGTCTTGTGCTCCCCATGGGTGTGGCTGTTACCAATAACTTGGTCAGGTAGAGAAAGTGAGAAATTCTTTCAAGTGTAACTAGCAGGGTAGCCATGTCTCTCCACTGCATGTATTAATTCACACTGTATGTGTCACATGCTTTTCTTTGAATGAATCTGTTTTCTGTTTCCTAGTTCATTTGTGAAAGGAAATTGTTAAAAGTGGTGTCCTGACTTTTATGTTGATTTGATTTTGTTTCTTTCCTCTTCACACAGATTGTGTGTTATATATACTTCACCAGGATCATTGCCTTTCTCCTCAAGCTTGCTGTTCCATTCCAGTGGAAGTGGCTCTACCAGGTATGCTGCTCACAGGCATAATGCCAGAGAATTTATGCCTGAGGATAAAGTCTTGAAGTGTAACTTAACGGTTGTTACTAATTTGTCTGGGAATGACTAATAAGACCTTCCATCTCTTCTTTTTTTAAACTTTTTTTTATATTTATTTTTTAGTTTTTGAGACAGGGCCTCACTCCGTTACCCAGACTGGAGTGCAGTGGCACGATCTCGGCTCACTGCAACCTCCACCTCCTGGGTTCAAGCGATTCTCCTGCCTCGGACTCCCGAGTAGCTGGGATTATAGACGTGTGCCATCACGCCCGTCTAGTTTTTGTATTTTTAGTAGAGACGGGGTTTTGCCATGTTGGCCAGGCTGGTCTCAAACTCCTGACCACAGGTGATCCACCCACTTTGGCCTCCCAAAGTGCTGGGATTACAGATGTGAGCCACCTCGCCCGGCCTCCTTCCATCTCTTCTATCTCGTCTATAATTGAGATGATCTGTTTGTCCAGAAATCCTGCTGGATTCCATGCGGAATCTGAAAATAATTGCATTCTTTTAGTTTTCAGTCTTAGAAGTCTGAAGAGAAAAGCTTCAGGCAGAGAAAGATTTACCCTGAATAATTAGAACTTAGATGAGATGGGGTCTTTTCCTTTAGTTACAGGGCTTAGAGTAATTAGAATTCAGGCTTCCCTTCTTCTTTGCCCATTTTATTATTTCAGTAATAAAGTATCTTTGCAATAAACTAGAACCAGCTTAACTACTAGAGTAAGCCACCAAGTGACTTTCTTGCGCGCTATAGAGACTGTAGGAGGATGTGGGTATGTGATGTGCTCTTAAAAGCCACCAGTGAAGACCCGTTAGAGCAAAGCAGAGCACGGACTCTGAAATGTCATCCCTGGGCAGAATGCTCCTAGTTGAGGCTTCAGCAGGTCTAAGGAAAATGCCCTGTAGCAGGAACTGGTATTTGAGTGAAGAACCAGTGAGTGGTGGGTTGAGGGGAAGTATGTCAGTTTGTTTAGTTCCATTGCTTTCTGAAGAACAGTGTTGCTAATCTCTTTATTTTGGGTGGTTTTTAAACTTGCAGCTCCTGGATGAAACGGCCACACTGGTCTTCTTTGTTCTAACGGGGTATAAATTCCGTCCAGCTTCAGATAACCCCTACCTACAACTTTCTCAGGAAGAAGATGACTTGGAAATGGAGTCTGTGTAAGAAATCTTTCTTCACTCTTCCTTAGCCCTGACCCCTCTGCCTAACTAAAAGCAGCACAGTGTGAATCAGGCCAGCTGCCCTCAGCATTTCGTGGCTCCAGGGGTGGTTCCTCTGTTTTTAAGGGAAGGAAATGGACGCTGGAGCCCCAGGCTGTCTGTCTTAGTTTGAAGTACAGTATCTGCCAGGCCTTGTTGGGTCTTGTCAGGGATGATGGAACTCGCCATCTACTGAGCATCACTGGAGCCTGCTTCCAAGAACTCAGTGGCACGGACTTAGGGATATTCATGGCCCGTTCACAAGGGAGAGGAAGGAGCCCACTTTCTGTCAGGCTGCCGTCAGGCGCTTATGTCTGAAAATGGAACCTTCTGAGTCATCTCTGAGCCTGCTAATGATCCTCAAACATCCTCTATCATCAGATAACTACGTGGCTTTTCACAGCACAGTGACTTTGACCTATATTCGAGCACTAATCCGAGTCACGGAGTGAGTGATTCTAGGGTCCTATTTTCTGGGAAAGGGCAATCATTGTCTAGAAAAATGAATAGTGATTAAGCATATTTGCTTGTTAACGCTGAAATGTGAGAAGTCAGGTCAATTGCTGTGTTTGATGATTAGCCTAAGGTGGAGTGTTCTCTTCTTCTTTCACTGGTATTGTGTTCTGCCCCCAGCCCTGACAGCCTTTGAATTCTTCTCAATTCGGAGGCTGAGACTGGCCCATGCTCTGGTTGGCTGTCAGCAGGTCAGGCAGCATGGGACAGCTCTCTGTGCTCAGCTCCATGGCAACAGTACATGGAAGGCAGGTCCTGCCAAGGGCCCCAAACAGCCTCTCCCCATGCAGAGAAGACAGCAGGGAGGAGTGCAGGAGGACCATCAGCTGCCTTTCCCACAAGTAGCAGGATCTCAGCAAGTGTCTCTTGGTTGAAGAGGCACACATGTGTCTGTCTGGTAACCAGCAGCATCAGGAAATAACCTAAAACATGTTGTGTGTGTGATTCCCCTGCTGGGAGCCTTTCGCTTGGTGCCTCTGAGTTCTGCGGGCTTCCTCGGATAGGCAGCTAGAAGCCGAGTGGCTGGGTCACAGCATCTTCTCCTTTACGCCATTGCACTCCACAGTGGTCACGGGGGTGCCTGCTGCCCACACCCTTTCCCTCAGCCATCACCTCTTGGAGCCTGGATACGTTATGAAGATCTTTTTGTTTCATGGCAAAATTTTTTTTAAATTTTGTTTTGGTGCTTGTTTTCTCTCTGACAAACAGGAGAGAGACCTGCTGACAGCCAAGCAGAGCCTAGCATGGGCCAGTGTGGACCACGCGGCTGCCCCCAGTGCAGCCATTACCCCACCAGTCCTGCCACAGCTTCTCTGTCTGGGCCTGGGAATGAGGGCACAGTCCAAAGTAACACTGACCTTCTGTCTCTTTCCCCTTCCGATCTCTTTAGGCCTACCAATTTTGGCAACAGAAGTTATTGGTAAATAATCAGCAAGTTAAAAGTATTGGATGTGATTTCTATTTTCAGGCTTAGTAGCTGCCTCCTAGGCTCTGTGTATCCTCAATGATCTGAATAACTTGTCATCTTGAGGAGTGAGAATGGAAAGAAGTGTTTGGTGTGTGGGTTCCTGGCCAGGAGGTTTTCTCCCCGGGGGTTCCGTTCCAGAATGCTGTCCGCATGGTTGTTGTTCACCCTTCACAACTTCCTGCATTCTCTCAGCTGGGCAGGGAACAAACGTGGAAACGGGGATTGGAGACTAATAGAATTGTCTCTTCACCAGGTCACCCCACATTTCCTGAAAACACTTTTTAGTTAGATAAACGGATGTATCCATGGACCACTTAGGCCCAAGCCACATGTGATTGTAGTCTTGTGTGGCAGAAGAAACCTGTGTCCCATTTGGCACTTTTGGTTGCAAGCACAAGACTTGGGGCTTTGCGAGGAAAGGGGGTTACAGTTTCGATGTCGAGGAAGGAATGCTTATCTGCAACGTAGGTTGCTGATTGGATGTTGGCCCTTCAGCTGTTTGCCTCTTTGGTGCAAGTTTTGCTTGCACCAAAACTAGGACACCCAGTGAGGTGCCTGTGAAGTTGCTGAAGCCCCACCGCCACGTGTCTCTGCCAGGGAGGCTTTCAGGTGTTCATCTGACCCAGGTTTCTCTTCTCCCTGCAGCAGAGCTTGAGCTCCCAGGAGCATTGCTGGCACCCCATCTGCAGAGGACTAGCCAGGCTTCCCCACAGCATGGGGCCCCAGGTGTTCCTTCAGCTTCCCGGAGGCTTGTTGGGCAAACAGGCTGCAGTGCCCACCCCACCCTGGGCATCTGCCATCAGCTTTCTTCCTCTGCTTGAGTTCACTCCTGCTGCTCCCAGTGCTGGCCACATGCTGAAGCTCCATGTCACCTGCCCTGCCTGTGACACCCTCCTGTGCTCCCGCATGCCCTTAACTTCTGTTCTCCCTCTTCTCCCAGGACTCACCCTCACCCAGCCTACGGCTGCCTCTGCCCCTCGCTGCCCCTGGCCCCTCCTGAATGCCAGGTGCCTCTGTCCTGCTCCCTGTCACCTCAGACTTGAAGCGGCACTCCCGTTTTACACCAAGCTGGCCCCGCGCCAGCATTCCCACAGGACTTGGCGGCACTGACATCTGCCCAGTCTTCCGCAGCCATGGCTGAAACACCTCCCTCTTGCTCAGCCTGTGTGGAGCACTGACCACGTCTGAAGGCCCCACTTTGTGCTTCTCACCCCTGCCCCACCCCACCTCTTTGTCTCATGCCTGGGGTTTGTAGTGGCTGACCTCTTCACCCCCGATCCTCTTCCCTTCCTCTCCATCCTTTTATTCCCTGGAGACAGGGTCTCACTCTGTCGCCCAGGCTGGAGTGCAGTTACACTATCACAGTTCACTGCAGCCTTGACCTCCCCGGGCTCAGGCAGCCCTTCCACCTCAGCCTCCTCAGTAGCTGGGACCACAGGTGCACGCCACCACGCCCAGCTAATGTTTTTGTATTTTTTTGGAGAGACAGGGTTTTGCTGTGTTTCCCAGGCTGCTCTCAAATTCTGGGCTTAAGTGATCCTCCTGTCTCAGCCACCCAAAGTGCTGGGAATGCTGGTGTGAGCTGCCTTGGGAATACAGGTGTGCCGGCCCTTCCTGTCTGTTCCTCCGAGCTCTAGAATCACCTGTAAAGTGTTTTTGCAGTGCTGGCTTCCTGGCTGCGCCCCCGGAGACTCTGATTCTCACTTCAGAATCTGTGCTTTTCTCACTCCCCAAGGCAGTCTGAGTAGGAGGCAGGGGTGAGAACCCCTGGAGTAACAATCAGGGTCATCCTTGGGTGACGAGGCAGACCGGGCCCTTGACAGCCCTGCCGCCCTGTGTCCACCCATGCCTCTCTTCCTGCCACTCTCCTTTCCAGACTGGCTGGAGGTATTAAATATATATACTGTAGGCCGGGTGCGGTGGCTCATGCCTGTAATCCCCGCACTTTGGGAGGCTGAGGCGGGCGGATCACCTGAGGTCAGGAGTTTGAGACCAGCCTGGCCAACATGGGGAAACCTCTTCTCTACCAACAATACAAAAATTAGCTGGGCATGATGGTACGTGCCTATAATCCCAGCTACTCAGAGGCTGAGGCAAGAGAATCACTTGAACCCCAGAGGCACAGGTTGCAGTGAGCCAAGATCGTGCCATTGTGCTCCAGCCAGGGTGACAGCGAGACTTCATCTCAAAAAATAAAATAAAATAAAAATCAAAAAATATATAAATATATATACACTGTGACTACTTAGCACTCCTGGACTTTCTGGAAAAGGTCCTGGGTTTTTCCTCCATGCTTTTTGCTTGTTATATTTCTTCTTTTTTTTCTGGCTTTTATATTTCTTCTTCCTGATTTCCTCCCATCCATCTTGGGGCTAGCTCCGCGTGTCTCATGACAGGCTTCCTGGCTTCCCAGTTTCCCAGCAGAGGGGATTCTTCTCAGCCCAAGCCATCACCCAGCTCGGTTCCCAGCACTCCTGTCTCTGTTGGAAGCCACCTTGCAGTGTCGTTCTGGAAGACCATCTCTCCCCTCCTGCGCTGTGTCCATTTTTTCCCCCTCAGTGACCTAGTACAAGGCCTGTCTTGAAGAATGAAAGTTGTTTTCTCTCTTAGCCCACCATGTGGAGAGGAGTATTTTCTTAGAGAAGGACAAGTAGAACATGTTTTCCCCAAGTCTGCTGTCGGGGCCGTACTGGGGTTGCAGGGAAGGTGCTTTACTGCTTAGTGTCAGTGTGCACTGAACTGCTTGTCCTTTTTAACAAGACGCAGTGATCATGGGACAGTGCACGATTACTGGAGTGTTTCTGGAAGACGTGGGGTCGCATTTCTTTGTGGTCTGAGTAGCTGTGAAAAGGCACGGGGGCTACTGCGGGGCTCAGGGCAGGGGGCTCTCTGGCTTGTGCGGAGGCCCCACCTCCTGTGTCCTCATCTAGAGAAGGTCCCTTCAGGAGCAGCCTTGTGCACATGGATCCCTCCTGGGGGGAGTGTCTTCCTAAGGAGGCCAGGCCTGAGACAGGAGCCAGCTGGCAGGAAGTGATGCTGGGCAGCTTCAGCTGAGGCATGTTCCTTCGTCTTGGGGTATGCTTTTAGACTCACAGCATCTGTGGGATCCGGCCACATGCCTTGTCCCAACTTTGCTGTAAGTACAAATAACCAGTGAGTCTGAAGGACTCATTTGAGAAAGGTCTCAACCCGGGGCGGGGGGAGGGATTCTTTGAGCTTGGGTGCGGTAGCACCTCGATGGCAAGAATGAAGAGACGAGGAAGAAGGGGAGGTTTTCTTCCCTTACCCCATGCAAACATTTACTTACCATGAGGTCCGGCTGCATGCACTCTAGATGGGTCACATTTAAGGCCCCTTTGTCACCATTTGTAGGGAAAGGGGTGAGGTAGTTGGCAGGGGGATGGGTTGGGTCCTTGGAGAGGGAGTGTTGAGTTAGTTGATTGATTTTACTGATGAGGAAATTTCTTTTGGTCCACAGTGGGGGAGCATAAGTCCTCATTGTTTCCTAGAGTACAGGGGAGATGGTGGGCCCAGTGGCTTTGGACCCCGTATGTCTCCCTAGTTCTCCCGATACTTACAGAGCCTCCCAGTTCCTGCACAGACCAGCCCACCTTCTGTGAGGCAAGAGATCATCCTCTTGAGAAGGTGGGGCCTGTGCGTGTGATTGCTTCTGATGGAAGGGCTGCCTTGCATAGCTCACGCCCTGTGACGAGCGATCTTCCATTCTTAATTCTCGAATTCAGTGAATGGCTCCATGGAGCTTCTCAGAGCCAGGCACCAGCAGACGGAGCCCTGGGAGCTCACAGAGTGGAGGCCGAGGCCATGCACCGATGCACAGCCACGTGACGTGGCCCCAGCCTGCAGAAGACAGCCAGTTCTCTGTCTACATGGCCAAAGAATCTGTGGTCCTAGAAGGCTCCTCTAAACCTGTGATTCTGTCCCCTGGCTCAGAAATGATCCATTGTGGCTGGTTATTAAAATGTGTGGTTGGCTAATGAGCTTTCTTTTCTGAATGTCAGTTAAGACTCAGATTTCAGTCTCATAACCATAACTGTCCCATATCTGTGCACCACAAAAATGACACAAGCTGTGACAAAAAGATTCATGACGATTGTAATAATGATAGCTGGTGTTTATTAATTAGGCACTTTGGAGAATCTTGTTTTCCCTCATGACAGTTCTAAAAAGTGAGAATTATTTATTGTACTTAAGCATAGAGAGGTCAAGGGACTTGGCCAAGGTTATACAGCTAGTAAGGAACAGGCCAGGAATCAAACTTAGATTTGTGTGTTTCGAACACTAACACCCATTATCAGTCCTAACCACCGAGCTGTGGTGGAGACGGCCTTTTACACTAAGAGACTGTGAGATGTTCCTTATCTTCTTTTTCTTTCCTTGTTTAGCGTGACGACATCTGGGGTGATGGAAAATATGAAGAAAGTAAAGAAGGTGACCAACGGCTCTGTGGAGCCCCAGGGCGAGTGGGAAGGCACCGTGTGACAGAGCCAACCTCGAGGATGGCACTGTCCAAGGAAACTTTTATTCACAGTCCTGTTGGAGAGCGAGAGCAGCTCCTACAGTGAACTATTGGCACCTCCGACAGTGACACCAGGGCACGTGGCTGGGAGCACAGTGCCGCGGAAACCTGACTCTGTACTCTTCTTTTATGGAAACTGGATCTGTGGCTGGTTAGAGGCAGCTGGAGTCCTCCTTCAGGTGGGAGTGGGAGGAGGGGCACAGAGAGGGGGAGAGGAAGAGAAAAGGAATTACTCATTTTAAATTTAGGTTTCTTTTTTTCTTCTTCATTTGGGAGCTCTAAGGTGTATGCAGTTGTGAACCCAGGTGTGGGGCAGTGGTGAGGACGGCAGGTCGAGGGGGAAGGAAGGTGTGAGGTGTCTGTCTGATGCTTTAGGAAATATCTATAAGGACACCGGAACTTAGGAAGGAGGAAGGGGAGGGTGCCATCGCCTCTTCAGGAGACAAACATGAATGAAAACAGGTGATTTTAGAAAGCAGAGTCAAAACCCAGCTTCGGATGTAGCACCTGCCCCAGGATTCCTGCCCTGACATTGCCCAGACCCTGAGAGTGACTGGGACGGCCGCTCCTGAGGCCCAGTGGCCTTCTTTCCAACAGGAATAGGAGGCTATGATGTCACTGTCAGGTCATGCCTGTGGCACAGTCCAGGTGGTGGGAGGGGGTTGAGATGTTGCCTGATGGATGGAAAGAAACATTTTTAAGCTCAAAAAGCATTAGCCTCTGGAGTTCCCTGGACATCCACTCCCTAACTGCCCAGAGCACCCCGTCTCGTTTCCCTTCATGCCTGTGGCTCTGTTTTGTGTGATCAGAATTTGGGAGGAAATGGAAAGGAGTTTTCCTTAAGGAGTAGCTGGGGCAGAATAGGTCGTATTTAAGCCGATACTTAAGTCCAAGCAAATCATCCCCATTAAAAAGCTTCTTGTGTAGGCTAGTAGGATTTCTAAATAGATGAATGCAACAGATTTGGTCCCCATAGTCCAAGAGTATGTATTTGAAGAAAGGGAGCACGATTCAACAGTTTCACTCAGGGATTTGGGGATGGTGAACTATTTCACAGAAACGCAGTGAAGTTCCTTTCCACATTTTCAGAGCCTGGGAATGAACGCAGAGCTGCCTAAAGTGAGCAGTATTGCAGTTTAGAGAGAAAAGCATTTGAATATTGGGACAAGCTCAGAAGGTCCTTTGTGACTAAGGGCTTAAAAGGAGACCAAAACATGGCCCCATCGCGGATGCTTCTTACTGCCTGGGGGCCGGCTAGGTAGGGTTGTTTCCAGAAGCTGGAGCCCACCGCTGCCTCGGCTTGTCAGAGAGCCACACTGTAGGGGGAACTGGGACCTATCGGGTTGATAATCGTGGTCTCTGGGAGTTGTTTTCTCACCTCTGGCTTAAAAGGGTCAGTGAGAAACCACAGGGTATGAGGTGGCACTTAGGTCACAGGTTTGGGAACCTGAAAAAGTCTCCATTTCAGAAAACGGTTGTTTTCCCTCTCCCGTGCCATTTTCTCTTCCTGAATGACTAGCGAGGAAGTGGGTGTTCTTTTTCTGCACTTTGGTTCTCCATCTGGGTGCTCTGGAGGTGCGGGGCTGCCTTCTGAGGTAGGTGCTCCTGGAGGCTGCTGTGGACGAATAGCACGCCCCTCCCCAGGCCACGGGTGCCCACCTGTCAGCAGGTATTTGAGGGAGGCATCCGTGTCTTCCCAACTTCAGGAGAAGAGTAAACGTGCCCTAAGTGTTCACTTCTGGACCCTTTTAAAGTTAACTCGGGACTGGATTGTGTGACAGAGGGAGTTGGAGGATGGGAATCTTTTTAACACTTGGTTTTCCTGCGCAGAAACACAATACCAGTTTTTACAGAAATATGTTGCAATCTGTGCCTGCCAAAGCCCTCCTCAGTCCTTCCCTCAGAGGGACACGTTTGCTATTTCTCCCACAAGCAGAAGTTGTTGATGAGGTGATAGACTCCTTGGCAAGAACGAAAGGTGTGATGAAACCTCCCTGCTCGGAAGGGTCTCCGTGGAGGTGTCCTTATTTCACATGCTGGGTTTTGCCAGCAAGGAAGCCAGGGAGTGGAGGAGCCAGAGGGAGCCAGGAGTGTGTGTGGACAAGCGCTGGAGCCTCAGCCATCAGACTGGCACGGGAATGCCAGCATTGGGTGTTCAGATTCCACGCGTATGTCTGGGCTCGCTCACAGCATGGCGAGTGTCTGCAGTGCTAGTCCTGACCCTTCCGGAACAGCAGTGGACAGATGAGGTAAGACTGTGTTTCAGAAACAAAGATGGCCACAGCCTTCCTGACAAGCAGGTCACCTGGCTGTGTCTGTATTATAACTGGTAAAAGGCTTCCAGTCAGATTGATGATCAAGCAAAGTCAAAACCCCAGGCCAGGACTGGTGAAGCAGGTGGTGGTTCCAAGCTTTTAAAGAATTATTTAAGCTCTCCATCCTGTTCTGTGAATGTATCTTCCCTTTCTCCTTCACGTCATAGCTGTGGCCCACCGTTCATCTCTGTTGTTGCGTGAAGATGACGGATGAGTCCAAAGCCAAGTGGCTTCACCAGCTGACAAGCCACCCTCCTGCAGCCTGAGCTTCACGGTCTGCTGGCTTCATTGCAATGCGGTGTTTGAATGGTTAAGGCCTTCAGTATTTCAAGGATTGGGCAAAAAATGTCGGATGCACAGAGCAGAGCCGTTGGTGGTATTTATAGCTTTGCTTTGTACTCCTCCTCACTGTTTCTGCCTACGCCAAATATCCACGTTTCCTTTGAGAAATCTGTGTGGACTGAAAGCGCTGCTGGCTGTGAAATTTAATAAAGTGTGTATGTTTTGCTAGAAAATTATTTCTTGGACAATAAGAACAGTCACTGATCTCTTAATCCTGGCTCTTAACAGTGGCCAAGGACTCCATCGGCCCATTTCTTGGTCCCTCGGTGCTTTGAAATTTAAGTGGCAGTGCATTTCATAATGTTGAATGTGACTCTGGTGAATGGCAGGAGGCCCTTGTGAGGAGGTGCTTGCTTCAGTGTGAAAGTTCCTCCTGGCCTGAGTCCGTCTAGTTTTCTTTCAAGAAACCACTTTAGAGTAAAACATCCAGGGCTTCCCCGCCCTGAACATGTCCCGCCTGCCAAGGCAGCACACAGCCGCCTAAGTCCCCTTCACATGGCTGTTAGGGTGAGAGCGCCTCCTGCAGGATGACCTCATCCAGCTCTGCACTCTCGTTCCACACCCTCCCTCCTTCTTCCCCCCCACTCCTCCTGCTGCTCCTGCTTCTCCTCTATGATCCCTCCTCCTCCACCATCCCTCCTCTGCCCTCTTTCTCCCTGTGCCTATCGATCCCACATAGGCTCGTTCTGGGCACGCAAGTGAAAGGCTTTGGTGCATTGCGGCGCTTTCTCCCAGTGGCTGTGTGAGAGATGCATTTTCTAAGCCAAGGAGAATTTTCTCAAGGGAGTGCATACTCATGCCATGCATTATTGCTTTGGGCCATATAGGATGGCCTTCCTCCACAGTAAAGCGGGCGTCCTGTTTTGATACTTACAAGAGTCTACTCCAGGCAGCCAGTCCGTGCAGACCGAGGAGGAGCAGAAACGATGCCTGTTGGAATTGCAGGTGGCATTCTGCCTTCTCCCCCATCCTGAAGCATTTTCTTCGAGGAAGGCTCTTAGAACATTAGACAGTCTGCTGAGGTTGTTGGCCCAGCTCCATACACCCAGTAAAACAGCGGAACAGTTCATGCTTTATGCTGCCAAGCTGCTGGATTTCAAAGGAAGCAGATCCTAGCCCACTCCTCCACCCCTGCTTCCACGCGCCATACTCACCCCTCTGCTTTTCTCCGACCCACCCCTGGCCTTGTGAGACTGACCGTAAGCCAAGTCCAGGATGCCTGTGGCCTGTGGATTTATTCTGCCCTTTAGGATTCAGCAAGTTAATGGCTCCCCCGCTGCAGAAGTTAGACTTTGACTTGATACCTCTTGGTGTATCAAAAAGGTATTCATCTGGAACTTACTAAATGTTCTGAAAGACCCGCATTTCACTCCAGTTCTCCCCAGGGTGTTTCTGGCAGGGCGTCTTTAAAAGGCATCTACCTGAGCTGACGCTAGTACTTGTCACCACCTGGAATGTAGTTATTGGTCGGCAGGCTGAACATACTCCAGATTCCCCCGAGGCCGCTTCTGCAGCCCGGCAATGCATCTGCACCTCTCTTCATGGTTTACGCTTGAAAAATAGATAATGCTTTTAGATGGCTCACTGCCGGGACGGGGCCCCGCACATCTCAGGCACCGTGTAAAGGAGTGCGCTGAGATGGCGGGGGGGTGAGTGGGCAGGGCTTGGCCCAGCCGCTTCAGGGACCTGCTGGTGTTCTGGCTGCAGGGGATCTGCAGGTCGGCCATGTGGGACGGCGTCCTGGCCAGAGTCAGAAAGGTCAGAATGAAACGGAACAGCTAACTCACGCACAGGACAGCTTATTGTGAGGCAGGGTTTTAGATTTGGGAGGGGGCAGCCAAAGGAGATGGGGAACCTCCAGAAGGTCAGCCTTTGGAGCATGTAAGATACTGTTACAGGGTCCAGAAATCATGTCCACACAGGGGGCTTTGACTCTTCCGACAGCTTTTGCAGATCGTACATTGCGTTTGCCTAGTCATGTGACCTCAGAGAAGTCAGACACATTTAATCCAGAAATAGTTTGGTGTGAGGGAGGGCTCGCAGGTCTGTACATAGCATTTGCTTTCCTGGCTAGAGGTTGGGACGCAGAAGCAGTTTCAGTATTTTTTTTTTTTTAACATTAATGATCACTGAGTATTTATGTAAACATATAATGTATAACGGGTGGGGGATCTGATCAGGGTGTTGTACAGGGTGAATTCTCTTGCCGTGTTGCAAATGTGTAAAATAAAGATTACCTGGCAGAACCGTGTGTGTGAGATCCGGGGAGTCGCCGGCTCCCGGTGCTTTTCTCTCCTCCACATCCCTCTCATAATCTTTTTCTTTGTGGTTTTGGTTCATTAAATTAGTTAACTGCCTCCCACCAGCTCCTGCTGACAATAGTGACACCTACTAGAGAAGTCCCAGGCATCTCAGCAGATCTGTGGCTTCCCCAGTGAAGACCGAGGTGACTGAAAACCATTTGTAGGTTACCGATGTCCGGCTTATGCCGGAGGTGCAGGCGATGCCTCATGAACCGGTGTCAGGGCACTGCTGCCATTTGACAGGAGGTGACAGCAGGGGCCCGGGGCAGAGCCCGCTCTGTGACAGGCACATGTGAACCTCCTCCTGGCATCGTTATCAGTAGCTCTCAGTTACCCCACATTGTGAGAGAAACCCAGGATTTTAGACTCAAAGCATTTTTAGAAGTCATTCAGTCCGGCCGGGCGCGGTGGCTCAAGCCTGTGATCCCAGCACTTTGGGAGGCCGAGGCGGGTGGATCACGAGGTCAAGAGATCGAGACCATCCTGGTCAACATGGTGAAACCCCGTCTCTACTAAAAATACAAAAAATTAGCTGGGCATGGTGGTGTGTGCCTGTAATCCCAGCTACTCAGGAGGCTGAGGCCGGAGAATTGCCTGAACCCAGGAGGCGGAGGTTGCGGTGAGCCGAGATCGCGCCATTGCACTCCAGCCTGGGTAACAAGAGCGAAACTCCGTCTCAAAAAAAAAAAAAAAAAAAAAAAAAAAAAAAAAAAGAAAATAATTAAAACAAAAAACACATTTTTAAATAAAAATTTTTAAAATTAGGAAATTTTTTTTTTTTTTTTTTTTTTTTTTTTTTTTTGGAGACAGAGTTTCGCTCTTATTGCCCAAGCTGGAGTGTAATGGTGTGATCTCAGCTCACAACAACCTCCACCTCCAGGGTTCAAGTGATTCTCCTGCCTCAGCCTCCCAAGTAGCTGGGATCACAGGCGTGCTCTACCATGCCCAGCTAATTTTGTATTTTTAGTAGAGACGGTTTCTCCGTGTTGGTCAGGCTGGTCTCGAACTCCTGACCTCAGGTGATCACCCGCCTACAGCCTCCCAAAGTGCTGGGATTACAGGCAGGAGCCACTGCACTCAGCCAGAATCCATCCTTTTTAAATGTACAGTTTGTTACATTTTGGCAAATGGATGTAACAGTCCTGAGGCCTCCACCACAGTCGAGATCCAACATCCATCCCCGTTACCCCACGCAACCCCCTTTTGCCCCTTCCCAGTCCAAACTGCCCCCTTTCTGAAACTACCATAGCCCCGGCTCTGATTCTCCCATAGTCCTGTTTGCTTTGTCTAGAACTTCACATGAATGAAACCGTGCCAGGTACCCTCTTTTTGTGTGGGGCTGCTTTCACGTAGCATACTGATGTGTGATTCATCCCTCCAAAGCCCTGCCTTCAAAACTACAAAAATTGGGGCCTAAAGAAGGTTCTGCCACTGCCCACCCACATCTTTCCCCCTTTTCCCCCAGCTGATGTCAGAGCTGAGACAAGAACCAAGGGCTTGGCCCAGTGCCCCGCACAGGAAGGCCTCCGAAAAATGGGTCTGTTGGTTACTGCTGTTGTGCTTATAAAAATGTGAGCATGGGCCAGGTGCAGTGGCTCATGCCTGTAATCCCAGGACTTTGGGAGGCCAAGGTGAGCAGATCGCCTGAGGTCAGAAGTTCGAGACCAGCCTGAGCAATATGACAAAACCCTGTCTCTACTAAAAACTACAAAAATTAGCTGGGCGTGGTGGCACATACCTGTAGTCCCAGCTGCTCGGGAGGCTGAGGCAGGAGAATTGCTTGAACCCTGAAGGCGGAGGTTGCAGTGAGACAAGATTCCACCACTGCAGTGTAGCCTGGGCGACGAGAACGAGACTCCATCTCGGGGCAAGGGGGTGGGGCGGGAAGCGAGCATGAACCTCAGTTGACCAGATCATAGAATTTCAGAATGAAAAGGAGACAGAATCCTGGGCCAGGCGCGGTGGCTCATGCCTGTAATCTCAGCACTTTGGGAGGCCGAGGCAGGCGGATCGCAACGTCAGGAGTTTGAGACAGGTCTGGCCAAGATGATGAAATGCCGTCTCTACTAAAGATACAAAAAATTAGCCGGGTGTGGTGGCAGACGCCTGTAATCCCAGCTACTCAGGAGGATGAGGCAGGAGAATCGCTGGAACCCGGGAGGTGGAGGTTGCAGTGAGCTGAGATCGTGTCGTTGTACTCCAGCCTGGGCGACAGGGTGAGACTCCATCTCAAAAAAAGAAAAGGAGACAATCCACATCCATGGCCAAGGTTTCCCAGCTAGTAGTGGTCATGCCCCACCCACAGCTCTTGTCCCTGACTTTCCGGAGGCCTTGCCCGTGCCACAAAGAACAAGCAGGAGCATGGGGTGTCCTGAGAGTTTGAAGCCCAGGATTCAGAACTCAGGATGAGAGACGTCAAGGCAACTCAGGAAGGGGACAGCTGAGAAAACAGGAAGGATCTTGCCGATCATCTAATCCCCTGGTCCTCAAACTTAGCGAGCACCCAAGTCCCCCGTAGAGTTCCTGGGGGGCCTGAGAATCAGCATTGCTAACACGCACCCAGCTGGTGCTGACGTGGCTGATCTGGACCACACTAAGAACAGATCCAACCCAGTTCTCTTCCTGAGTCTTGGGCCAGTCTCCAGCTGGCTACAGGGACAAGTGCCCACCTTGCGCACAGCTCCTTTGGGACAGAAGTCAGCGGCTCTGTCCTGCCAGGGGGGCACTGCAGTGGGGACCAGGTGAGAGACTGCAGGCCGGTGCTGACAGAGGCCTGGCTGTCCTGCTGCTCCCCTGAACCGTCCCACGTGGGGCCCCATTGCTGTTCCAGGTCTCTCTGGCCGCTTCCTCCCCCACCGCTAGCATAGAGCTTTCCCAGTTAGAAACACAGCCGCTGACTGAGGATGAGCTTGAGAAGCCTCGGTGCCCATGGGTTTGGCATCAGAAAAGTCTATGCCTACGAGTCTGACCCCAGCTTCAATAGCTGAGCCTTGCACCCTTCTTGGATCAGTATCATCAGCAAATGAGAGCCCTTCAGTGCCTGTGGTGGGCTGGACTTCAACAAGATCACCTCAGAGGGTGATGGGTCATTTCAAGGTCATTTCAGAACATTCCCTCTGCCTTCTCTGTTTGCCGAGCTTTCCATCACTAGGCCCTGACTGCATAGACACCATCCAGCCAGGAGCTCCAGTGTGAGGCTGAGGAGACCATCCTGCCCTGCTGGCCCCAAAGACACGGGTCGTACCAAGCCCATGTATTGACTTACCCTGAGTATAAGCACTCACAAGCACTTACTCTGTACAGCACTGTAGTGGCCTGGGCATTGCAGGTGCTTAGTAAATACCGACTGGACACCTGAACCTACACCAGCACCCCGGGTGTAGCGTGGCTACTGGCAGGCATTGGCAGGGGAGCCAGATGCCTCCTGGGCTGGCCGCCCTCATCAGCTGCAGTATCTGATTTCTTCCCGTTGTAAAGGAGGCTTGTCACGTCATTGGTCACCTCCGGCTGGTCCACTCTGATTGGCAGCTGTCATTGCTGGAAAAACATAATCGTCGACAACTCTAGTCTGGTGGGCAAACTCTTCTGAAGTCAGAGAAATAACTAACAGGTCCTGATCATTGAGAGGCCAGGGGCTTTCTGCTTGTTCTGATAGGCAGTGCAGGCTAAGTCTAGAGCAGATACTGGCTCCAATGTGTGTTTCTGAGAACAGCCCACTGTTCCCGGGCCCCAGGACCCTGGGCAGATCCTCCCTGTCCCTACCTGGGCTCCTTAATTATCGCAGCTGCCGTTGGGTAGCCTGCCCTTCACAAGGAATGTCAGGTGGGCAGACTGGTAGCTGTAGACGCCCTCAGACTAAGTAACAAGGAGGCCAGGTAAGCGGTTACCCTAAGGAGAGAAAGCACAGACTTGTTGGACGCTGGCATTGGCTTTGCCCTCCTATAAGCCACTTGCATGGTAGGACGTTTCTGAGAATCCGTCCTGAGCCCCTTGGAACCGGCCCACCCACCCCCATGAAGGGAAGCACAGTCAGCAGCTGGGAACTGGATGTTGGGGGGTTGCTGTGACCCACTTGGGAGCTGCATCCTAAACTGCTCCTTCCCAGTTTGCCAGAGGAATGCTGACCTTTGCAAAAATGAGGAAGCTGCTCATTAACACACATCTGCAGGAATCAAGCTCGCGCCCTGCATCAGCCATTCGTGCATGTCCTTAGACATCACTGCGTCTCTGTCATTCAGAGCCCTGGTTCCCGTCGGCCCCCGCTGCCTCAGGCTGAACATCGTTTAGCAAGCACCAGCATGGGCAGGGCCTCAGATGAAATGAGTAAGCCTGGCTGTGCCACATGGGAGAACAGTACTGGGGCAGGGAGCAAGCCACACGGCGAAGCCATGGGGCACAGCTGAGCGGCGACACCGCACCTCCTCCCTTCCCGCTCAGGCCTGAGCTAGCGGCTTCCTCCACTGCTTCCCTGCACCTTTGCGGGGTCTCACTGTCAGTCAGTCCCCTCCGCGTCTTCGCCCTTTCCATGTCACGTGGCCCCTGCCATCAAACAATCAAGCTTGTTCGTTTTTCCATTAACAAAAGCAAGCTCGACAGCGGCAGCTCCCACCCGCTTCAGAGCCCTCTTGGGTCTGCCAATTCATCTTCCAGCCGTCCCCGGCGCGCTGTGGTCCGGTTTCCACCCTCCACAGTCGGGCTAGAGTTACTCAAAACCTCTGGGGGCCTGGCTATTGTCTTCCTTGACTTTAGCAGCTTGTCACACGGGGGACATTCTTCCCCTCTTGCGACGCCCACCACCACCCCTCAGACTCTCCAGCAACCAAATTCAGCTTCCTGTGGTTTTCCAGGCTCGCATCCACCCTTCAGGGCCGGCTCCTGGGCTCTGTCCCAGGTCTGACCCTGCCCACTCTCTCCCACTCTCTGGCTTTCTGACACCCAGGAGT